TGATCATAGTGTTGGTCATAGACTCACAAAAAGCCATAAAATCCATATATAATTGGAGACCAAAGACAGGGTTTGGACGCCAGTCGTCAGTATTATTAAGTCCTTTAAATGTCTGTCAATTGAGACAAAACTGTATTGAATGCCAAATAAGCGGTGAAGACATAAGACATGACATACTCTGCGAATCCGTTCTCCATATTTAGATCAATGCCTCCGTCGACGAGCGCACCGGTAGATGAATAGACGGCTTTAGCCATGTATTGCATGACCGCCAGAGACCCGAAATACACGGATCCGGAAAATACGATAATTAACTGCAATTAAGAGTTAGAGACATGACATGAATGGCCACCAAATGGTCACTCCAATGGTTTACCCAATATTTAAATGTAAACAAATCGCTGAACACTAGAGACATCGTCGCGAAGTATATTATCTGAAAATGAGACACATTTGTCACAAACGGCTCATACGGTGGACAGGTATGCAAACCATGGCTGCGGTCGACATAATGGTGTAGAAGCGAAGAGTCGACTTGTTTTCCTCGACGATCTGCTTCTGACCCTTTGTTAACGCCTTTCCCTTTTGCACCTATAGGTCATCAATAGGTCACCAGTAGGTCATCAATAGGTCATCAACGGGTGATCATTGAGTCAAATATCAAGTAAATTGAAATGATGTCACCATTTGGTGACATGTATTGCAATTCATGTATCAATACTTACAGCCATTACTTGTCACCGATTCGTGTGATTACTATGAATGCAATGAATGAGCGCTTAATATAGCAATCAATTGAATCCTATTTATATGCAATTGAATGCAATTTTAATTGAATTCACTGTTAATTACCGAAACTAAACACGTGTTTAATGTTTACCACTGTTTGGCACTCATTACACCATAAATAACGTGTACTATAGACAGAACCTTAAATTCTGTGTCAGTTCAATAATGAGCATGGTCATTCTTCATTGTAATTTATAAATTATAATATTTAATTCTTAATGATTATGTGTTCAATGAGTCATTTGCTAGTTATATGTTTGGTCACTAAACTCTATGAATAGATATCTATGGAGGGGTTGCATATGGGATGGCGTCTGGAAGTGGCCAACACTGAGATACTCATCATTTCAACACAAGAACCCTTCCTTTTGTTCAAAAAAGTTTTAAAATCTCTAGTTTCAGACATTTGCTATAAGTGAACAAGGTCTCACTTGTCACTATAATCTTTGAATGTATCCAGAAATTATATAGAATTGCAGAGTTAACAAGGTACTCAAGTAAAACTTTCAAACTTTTAATTAAAATGAACTTATTATTTAAAAAATTATCAATTAACCATGATAAAATTTTTAAAAATAAAAAACCATCAGGTTTCCGTTATGTATACAGTATATATTAATAGATATTTTGTATTAATACTGTATATTATACAACATAATTATGTAATACAATAAACAATTCTGTAATCTTTATTAGTGAAATGAATTGAATTGCAATAAAACATAAACCTTTACGTAATGTCAATACAACTTATAAAATAGTTATTGACCCCAAATGTAGTCCAGAATATAAATCATGAAAACGATGTCAACACATGCACTGAAGACAAACACAATTTTCAAAATAGACTACAATTGAGTGAAAGTATTATCACATCTCTCGTCCCGCTTTAGTAATGAATTTACACGAGAATTGGGTTCAAGTCAAATGGCTTTCATTTGTTTGATTGTTTGGATTACAATTATACTGATTATATCGCATTCATTTGCTGCCAATCATTATAGTTTCCATCAGATTAATAGTGAAAAGAAATCAAAATTAGTTGTCTATAAAGGACACGACAAGAGGTACAACAGGTACAGAACCGATAGAAACAGTCCTCTCAATATAAATGAGACAACAAGTGATGTCCATTCAGTGCGAAAGTCATCGCCAATATTCAAGAAGTTAGGCCTTTATGCCTTGTTATTAGGCGGTGCTTATCCTTATCCATATTATGGATACTATGGCTATGG